GCCATCAAGTTGCCGATGTGGATAAGTGGGTTTTTCCTATAATTTGTATAGTTTTTTTAACAAACGATATTATCTACACTAAGAAGAAAAATGTAAACTTAACCTCATAATCAACAATAATTTGTATAAGTGACCGGTCTGGTTTGGTATTGTTGTGCTTTGAAAAAAAACTGCTCCTACTGTGCCGTGAGAATAAATAGTTGTGAAATAAAGCAGCAGAGTGTTTGGTAAACTTTTTTGTAAAACTGCTTTTGGAAAGAAAAAAAAGCAGTATTATAGTTTTTGGTAAACTTTTATTTAAAACAACTATGACTGTGTGAAATGACCAAAAAAGATATAATACTAGATGTGCCATTAATTTAATTTTCTTAACAAATAAAGATGAATTACTAAATATACTTTATTTTTTTCAAAGCATAGCAATACCAAACCAGCTTTTTAATAGTAGTTATGAACAAAAATGATTTCTAAAGAAGCAAAATCCCACACAAAACTGAAACCTATCTTGTTATCCAACATTTCATATTATGTTATTTTTTGCTTAACTACTTAACAGAAGCATTTCAGTTCAAGGTTCGAAGAAAAAACCCCGAATGGGATATTTAATGTAACAAAATTAACTTTAATGAATCTCAAGATACCATGCATCAAATCACAACAAAGATCACCTTACACGTATAGTAGAATCTAAGCATTTGGAAACTTAGCAACACAACATTGTCAAAGAAAATTGAGAATTTCATTCAGACAAAAGAAATGGCAAGTCTCAAAACAAAACACTACACTCAACATAGAGGTATCATCCTACTCTCTTTCACTGACCACTAGGCAGCGTCTTGATAATATCCGAATCACCTAAAGACAATACCAAATGACAAAGTTAGCCAAATCAGTTTTTCACAGGTCGGCAAACAAATTGCTTAGAATGATACGAAAACTATGGAGTACCTACATCAATGATGCTAAGGCAAAACACCCGGAAGTACTTTCCACATGTTGTACCAAGCTCAACATTGTCTGAAAATAGAACAAATGGTAAGTCAGATGAAAAGATACAAGTATAGTAGGCAAACTAATTCTCATTTTATTAAAATAAAATGAATAAAAGTATAAGACTCAGGATTTTGCAACATATATGATCATACTTATGTTATACATGGAAGCACGAAGAAAGACCCAAAATACTAATTAGTAGAGGGCATTCCTATTCCATACAGGATATAGAACTAGACGATAAATAAAAAGGCATTTTATGCATGCGAGAATTTCAAACATAATGAGAGTAGTGTGACCTAAGAGTAACTCAACTAGACTAAGCAATAACATACTACCACAACAAACCAATATTTTAAGGAAGGAAGATATATGTTCCTAAGTCACGCAAACACATAACAAGATGTGAATGGAAGAATTAATGAATACCCACAACGAAGTATACTGTCTAGTGAAAATCCAAGAGCCAAAAGGGTAAGGTAAGATGACCAAGACAATCAGGCACCATGGACTAATCGACACAATGAGATAAGTTGTAACATCTAACAACCAATACATATCCTATTAATCTAAACCTTTTGCGTACCAGCAATCACAGAACAATCAAACAGCTAAACCTTCTGCTACACTAGAAATGAACAAAAACGCTGCAATTACCAAAAGGATTGTAAGATGCTTACCATAAAACTCATATCAAAATATTCATCAGAGAAGACCAACAAATTCAAGCTTATTGGATGATTCTAACATCTCCTAAATTGCAGATGTCAACACATAACCCGAACCCGATATACACCTTTACTAAAAACCTACAATTTCATTTTTCATTCACCTTTTTATCCTTCTACAAAACTCTGCAACAAAAGTGCCAATAACAATTCCCTTAATTTAATTAATTTGAGTGCCTTATGACATTGGTTTAAGTATAGCTCACATTTTGGGGCTTTCAATATAGATGTGGATTGATATTCATTTTGTCTTGATCTTTTTGTCAGGTCATTTATTGGAATTTCTTAGAAGTTAAACGATGAGATGAAGAATAGAAGATGGGGCTGTTTGCAACGAGTTAATCCAAGAGGAAAGGATAATAAATTGGTGATTAAGCTTGTCAGTTATGGAAAGAGAATGAAACAGACATGGGAAGGCAAAGAACAAGGAACGGTTGAGTTATAATTGACTTAATAATGGGTTGATAAATGACCATTATTCAAGAGCGATATGGAGGTTGTCTTCGCAGCAGCTCAATATAACCATTCCCATTTTTATGTTTTTGGATCAGCTTGCCCCTTCATAATTTTAGACTTTTTCTGATTTTATTTCAGTTTAAATCTCCCTAGCTAAGGCTGGGGGGGAACCTATGTTATGATTATGTAGTTTTATTATTTCGATTCTATTTCGGAGTTTCAATGTCAATTTTATATTGTGGATGTTCAATGGAATTTCTAATTTATTCTATTTTCAGATTGATGAATGTTGGTTATAATTCATAGGTTTAATCATGTTTTTCCTATAGTTTTGTTTCACATTCATGCTTTTAGTGGATTAATAAATTAGTAGATTGCTATGATTTTGACAGAGTAATTTCTTAATATTTTGTGTCGTAGGTACAAATTATATTTGGGATTATTTCTATACGAAATTGAATGGGCATTTTGTTTTGAATATCTACAATGAAAATCACTTTTCAAGTAGTTTTGTTGAGGAAAATTTAATTGCTATATTTTCCGGTTGAGAGTACTTGTTGTTGGTATCTCAGTTGAGTTATAAAAAGGATTCGAAATAGTGAAGTTGCATAGTTGTTGCGGGTGAAACCCTAATGCTTTAGTGTTTTTAATTGTTGAACTTTTCTTCTATAAGTTACATCTCATTCGATATTGTTCTTTGTTCCAATCTTGATAATTATGCGTTCTTTTTCAACACTCTCTAAGGCATACGACACTCGGACTTCGAGTTTAGATTGCTACGCGACACCTGCACTTGGGTTTAATAAGCACCTAACAAGCACACTTTGCCAAGTCTGCTTGTTAAGGAAATTGGATTTCTATATCATCCCTATCAAGGATACTACATGATCCTCTTTTCACAATGGATTCAAGGGAATAATTGTGGACTAATTTAATCAAAATGTGGACCATGTAAATAGTTATGGTTTTGGTTGATGTATCGGCACACTAGTCATATATAGGTCCACACACATTGCTACTAACCTCTGGGTCAATTTTTCTTTGAGGGCACACCATCTGGATTATCCCATAAAGTCTAAAAGATTGGATAATGTCGGAGAGTTTATATCGAAGATTTTTTCTACAAGTATAGCATGTCTTTTGGGTTTGAAATCGAACATCGAATTCCCTATGTTCACTCTAAAACAGTCTCGCAAAGCTATCATAAAGCACAATTAAATTGATTGCCTGGACCTTGGTGAGTGCACTAAGCTTTCAGTTCTTTAATTTAATGTGTACAATCAAATATATAAAATTCAAAAATTCAAATTTAAGAATAAAAGGATGCATGAAATTAAAGAGCTTATTTTGTTCTTATTAGCCTAGGGGTAAAATAGACATAAAATTAAGAAACAAAATATTTAAACCTATGTTAAATCTTATCGGTTGCTTAAATTATATTCGTGAAAATCAAGGTTTGCCGAATTAGTATCGGTTGTATGGACACAAATACTCAAAAGAAATAAGTGCATTGATTGGAAATGTGGTTCGGCCGTTGGAATGACAAACTCTAAAATGTACTTGTAAATATCTAATCATAAAATGGGTTCAGCTTTCAATGTGTTGAACAATGTACCTTGATAACATCTCACTCGCCAATAGACTAATGGGATGACCTATTCCAACAATGACTCATAAATTCCTGATTAATAGAGACTTGGATAGGTAGCCAACCAAACCCGAAGTAGTGCTATTTATTCCAACTCAAGCCTTAATTGCCTGACTCTATCGTAGATTGCTTTCACAATATTGTTTATCCAAGCGAGAGTTTGCGCATAACGTCTGTATGTTGAGTTGAAGATCTACGGATAAAATAATAATAATAATAATAATAAACTAACCACCACGTGCATTAAGTGCAGCGACACTACCACACTCTAACTCAATCAGCCACTATTTGCTAATGAAGACCACGTGCACATGCATCTTTGATCTTTCATCCAATGGAACTCTAGGATATATATATCATGACAATCCCTTCCACCCATTTTTGCGTGACAATAATCCTTCTGATATTTATCCAAATAGAAGACCACATGCAGCTGTGAAATGCCATCTCCTTTCAAATACCATCTCCCCTTTTAAAATACCAAATGTCTGACTTTATCTCCATTCAGTCTAATCAGTTCTCATCACCAGACCATTGCATCAGGAGTCAAAATCTCCAAGGTGGCCAAAGCAACATCACAAATGAATAATAAAAAGATATACCATTTGTCTTCATGTGATAATCATCCCATCTTTCTTGCTTTGAAAATCATATCTATAATAAACACAACCGTGCTTGGATGTACATCCACATTATTCCACCACCATTCCAACTAGCTAGGATCTAGATAATATTAAGTCAAAATAACTGAATAAATTATTAAGAAATAATTATTATAACTAAAATCATAATATTATTCTTAAATGATAAAAATTATTTTAACAATTATGTCATCCATTTGTCTAAAAATATGCTCATTCATTGACCTCGTTTGCTCAGATCAATACGTAAAATCAGGTCCAAACACTTAGATAATGACTTATGTATTTTTTACCTCATCTGGAAGAAGGAGGCAGTAAACAAAGACGGCTGGGCATACAAAAATTAATCTAAAGTCAAAAATTTTGTGGAGACTAGAATTTGGTGTACAAAATTATATGATTCGCGAGAAGGCTTGCTTTGTTGCTTCGAGCTAACTCAGCTATTTTCTTTTAATTCATTGATCCTTCCATTCTTAATATATATATATATAGGATCGATTTATGGCTTGCTTGGGTTCAATACTTGAATTATAAGTAGATCGAGCGTAATGGAGCTTTTGTACATGATCTTAATTAGTTCTGTGCTTACCTGTGTTTCTCTCTACTATGTTTTTAACAATATCCATGTCGCCGGCGGCATGAAAAATGTAAAACTTGATCGTCATCCGCTCCCACCTGGAAGCACAGGATGGCCAATCATCGGTGAAACCCTGGAGTACCTAAGCACGGCTAAAAAGGGTGTCCCGGAAAATTTCGTGTTAGACAGGATAAACAAGTACTTGTCATCCGCCGGCAATTCTTGCAAGGTTTTCAAGACATCGCTGTTGCTTCAAGACATGGCAGTGCTGTGCACTGCGGGAGGAAACAAGTTCCTCTTTTCGAACGAGGAAAAACTGGTCAAGTCGTGGTGGCCGGCTTACTTGGATAAGCTTATCGTTGGTAACTCAGAAAAAACACTCAATATTACTGAGGAGTCCAATCGATTTCGCATGATTCTCGCTCCGTATCTGAAGCCTGCCGGCCTCCAAAAGTATATAGGAACCATGGATTCGGTCACCAAAAAATATTTGGTTACCTATTGGGACCATAAAGATCAAGTGAAGGTTCATCAACATGCAAAGAAATATGCGTTTACGTTGGCATGTAAACTCATGTTAGATACGGAGGATCCACAACTATTGGGCATACTACAAAGGCTATTGAAGGATTTGTCTTCTGGGTTCACGGCATTGCCAATCGATCTTCCGGGCACAACATTTAACCGAGCCATTCGAGCATCGAGGCAACTCAGGGAAGAAATTGAGAAGATTGTGGTTGAGAGGAGGATACAGCTTTCCACTGCTAGTGCCAATAGTATGGTCGACGAAGATGGTGATCACGGAGATATGTTGTCGAGCTTATTGATGGAGACATATAGTGACGGGAAACAGATAACCGAATCGGAGATTGCCGACAAGTTGTACGGTGTTATAGTTGCTGGCCACGACGGTCTAAGCAGTGCGTTGACTACCATTATGATGTATCTGGCGGAGCTTCCTCAAGTCTATGATGCCGTGTTTAAAGGTAATTAAGCTACATTTTCATGGATTTATCATGAATATCCTCAATTAGAATCATTTCTCGTCGTAGTCAAATTGAAATATTATATAAATTATCACAACCCTAGACTTGGTCTCTACTCAAGTTGCAATAACGAATTGGATAATGCTTGCGTGTTGGGGAATGATCGGTTATTCCCCACTTATAAATAATGTATCTTCATAAATAAAACTTTATAATCGAAATAAATTCTTAATATTCATTTGAAGATCATCTATAAAAAAAAAATTATTCAAATTTGATATCGTTTAGTCATTTAAATGTATCAAACAAATCAATGGTTTATAATGAATATGCTATTTGGTACATATACCGTTAATTTATTATGATAAATTTAGATGACTAAACAGGCACCGATTCGAATGATTTTTTGTAAGGATCTTCAAATAAAGATTAAGAGATTGCGCGGTTCCGATTATGAAATCTTATGATCAAGACACCTTATTTGTAAGGAGGAATGCGCACATTTTCTCCAAGAAAGAAATACAAGAATTATCCTAACTAATTTGTAATTCTCTAGGCTCTAGCTCTAGCCAAGTAGAAACAAAATTCTCTATTTAAAATTTAGGAAATCAACCATCATAATCTTCTCATCCAACGTGATTCAGGAAATTGAGGGATTAATATGGCACCTCAATAAATTAGTCTTTTAAGAACCTGCTTGTCAAGTGGCCATGTTAATTAAGAGAAGTAGTGATCGAGGTCAATTATGTGAATTTTGTACGCATGTATTAATTAGGTTTTACAGTTTATTTTTACAAGGATGTATCTTCAGATTTTTTTTTGGGTAAAAATAATTATCTTTAACTAAGGATTTAGAAAATAAATGGTCAATATCATGAAATGACGTTGGGGAGTGGACAAAAATGACTTAGTGCCACATTAACTTGCTAACCAGTTAATAATATGCATGTACATAATTTCACTTTATTCAACTAATTAAGAATAGGTTGCTTACTTACTGACACTTACTGACACTGTACTACCTATTAATAAAAGACTCTTTGTTAACCAAAAACAAAGAAAAATATTATTTTTTATGCATAATTAAAAGAAAATATCAGGAAAAAAATATAGGTACTAAAATAATTTCACACATTTTTTTTTTCCTTTACTCACCCACATGTCATCAAAGCTTGTTTCTATTAAGAGTGTTTAATTTTTTTTTTCTTTTGAACAAAATTAAGAGTATTAATTAAACCCTAACTAATTAATACGGTGGCCAAAATTAAACTTGAACAGAACAAATGGAGATTGCAAACTCAAAAGCAGCAGAAGAGCTGCTGAACTGGGGAGACGTACAAAAGATGAAATATTCATGGAGCGTGGCATGTGAAGCAATGAGATTGTTGCCACCAAGTCTTGGGACTTTTAGAGAGGCCACGACCGACTTCGTTTATGAAGGACATCTAATACCAAAAGGAATGAAGGTAAATTATAATTATAATAATTATTATTAGTATTATTAGAGATGTGATATTCACACACCCCTTTTTACTTCTTCCACACCTTTTTAGTTTTCGGCCGTCGGATCGGATGAATTGAGAAAAATTAACGGACATAAATTAACAAGGGGTGTGTGAGAAGTAAAAAGGAGTGTGTGGATAGCACACCCCTATTATTATTGGGATGGAGATAATTATAAATTAAATAAATCTTACTTCACTAATTATTAATAAATTAAAAGTATTAAAAAAAAACATTTATAGATTGTTATAATCAGCCTTGCTCTCATAAGGTCCTCATTTTGAGGATATGTAAGAACCAAATACATATTAGCCGCAAGATTATATTAGTTTAAATTCAAATGCTTAAGATATTTGACAACTCAATAGACCTTTTAGATCTAAACTAATATAATCTTGTTGCTAATATGCATTTGCTCCTCATAGGTCCTCAAAATGAGAACCATAGGAGAGCAAAACTCTATTATAATAATTTGGGTTAAGCCACACATGCTTATTATAATAAGTTGACATCGAACTTGCTATTTACAGCATTAAAATCTAAGACCTTTTGTTTACAATTGAAGAGAAATATCATTACATTAAGTGACTAATCAAGGGACGAAAGCAAATCCGAGACGTGCACTAGTCTCCTACACTTAATTAAGAGGGACTTTTAATGAATAGGGGTCATTGTTAGAGTCACTCTACAATGTGGTTCATCGTGAACATTTGAGAATTATTTGTGTATGAAAATACTAAAATTGGAAATTGTTTGACTAAATGACCATCACCATGAACATTCCGTTTTTCTCGACAACATTATTATATAGTTAGAGGACTATGGGTTCCTATTTCATTGATTTCCTTGGTAAGGTTGATCCATGAAAGTCAACATAATTGTTTCGTGGATCTACTTTTGATTCCTTTCGGGTAAATATTAAAAAGGGGAACGTCTTAAGTTATGGGGAATATATATGAGCGCACTGGACATGATATAAATGAATCTTTTAATACAATATATATAACTGAACTTAATTTAAACTTGATTACATATGTATATGTATGCATGGATGGATATGCAGTTGTATTGGCATCCGCATTCGACACACAAAAACCCAGAATGCTTCCCAAATCCAGAAAAGTTTGATCCGTCGAGGTTTGAGGGACAAGGACCACCTCCTTTCGCATTTGTTCCTTTCGGAGGAGGACCTCGAATGTGTCCCGGCAAAGAATACGCTCGACTCAAAATACTGGTGTTCATGCACAACGTGGTCACCAAATACAAGTTGGACAAGGTTTTTCCTGATGAGAAATTCATATGGACTCCTGTGCATCTTCCTACGAAAGGACTTCCAATAAAGCTTTTCCCTCACAACAAATCCAAATGACAACGTCGTAAGCCCTTAAAAATAAATAGTGGATGATCAACGATCGTATGATAATATGTAATGATATTGCAAACTGAATTTGGTTTTAGCTATGAGCTGTTGTTATTGTATAAATCTATCTGTTTGTAGTCTACACATGAATCCTATTCATGTATATGATTTCATTAATGAATAAAGATTGTAAAAGTTAACCATGTTTGAATTTAACTTTTTTTTTTTTTTTTTTTTTAAGTTGCCATATTGTTGACCCTAAGAATTACAAAGCCTACGTGGCGTGCAGGCCGAGTAACTAATAAGCTAACTACATCATTCGGTTGAATGCGGGGCGTGCCAACTCGTCGGCCGAGCTCGGCCGAGGAGTAAAATTTATTGATGTTGTGTTGAGCGCGTTGCTGACTTCTTTATCTTGCGACTGCGACCGACGAAGGAACACTCTCGGTCTTTGGGTTCTAGAGCCTGAAGACGAGGCTGCTAGTTCTGCGAAGTTCACAAATCGTCGGCGCCTGATTCGATCACTGTGATTATATTCGTAAGAGTATAGGCACGTCGAATCGACACCAAACTATATGGACACAAGTACTCAAATGTGATGTATGTCTTGATGGTGAATGTAGTTCGGCCGTTAGAATGCCGAACTCTGAAACTCACTTGTGAGTATCCAATCATAGAATCACTCGGCGTCCAGTACACCAAATAACGTAATTCGTAACACCTTACTACGCTGAGAGGGCTAACAAGGTGACCTCTGCCAACAAGGATTCGAAAACCCTTCTCGGCCGAGACTTGGATAGGTAACCAGTCGGCCTCGACGCAGTGCTGTTTATCCAAACTGAAGGTGCTTCTCGGTCGGCTGATTCTGTGGCAACAGTGCTGTTTATCCAAACTGAAGGTGTTCGCCGGGTGCCTCCACAGTGCTGTTTATCCAAACTGAAGGTGTGTCGGCTGAAAAAGAAAAGGAAAAAATCTCAAAGTATTTGAGAGGCTTTGCGCAGGGCAATTGTATGTTGAATTGAAGGTCCTTTTTTGTTGCATGATTTCTTGTATTTATAGCACCCATTCCTTGAGACCGAATCGCGCCCCTATCTGGATTGGGAGTCCTTGTCCCGTTCCAACTTTACTTCGAACAAACCTACTCCCATTAGGACTTTGAACTTTCCCCTCTTCCGAGGCTTTATTCCTTGCTGGCCGGGAATCCTAGTTGCACCAGGACTTCCTCGCCCCTTTTTGTTTATTTGGATTACTCCTTCTTAGGATAGGATTTGACCGACCCTGCTAACTGGCCCGGAATCTATCAAGCAGCCCATAGTAGTTGACATAGCTTTAGGCCGAGCACGACCCTATGCTCGGCCCAACAATATTATTTCGGGCCCAAACACATATATATAGGATTTTCTTTGATACGATTAGTCAATTTAGTTGAAAATTATATTACGTGACAAACATACATATAATATAAAACTACGAATTGTTGCAGTCATATTTAGAATAGAAATGTGATTGTATAAATCCTAGGGAATTCGAGAATATATCTTATATTCCTATTAGGAGTAGATTACCTATTCAATGTTGTAATCCTAAAGGAAAATGTTTTTACCTATCCTACTACTATAAATAAAGGCACAATGGGGTGAATCAAAAACACCTCACAATTAAATCAATCTCTCTTCTCTCTCAATATTGCCAAACCCCTCTCTCTCTCTAAACCCTAGATCGTTCAATCAAATAGGCTTATGATGCGAGAATTATACGCACACAAATTAAACCCTCTTTTTGACAATTGTAGTATAAGTATAAGTAGGGATCGTTCTGGACCGGGGATTAAGAGGGATTGTTAATCACTTGGATTTGACTAAAAAAACGTAAAAACACAATATAAAACACTATACTAGACTCAAAGAATTCAAAAATACTTTAAAACATAAACTAAACAGATTCTAAGCACTAAAGAATAAGAAAGTAAAGGGGGGGTTTGATTTGACGAAATTAACTAAATTGCACAAATTGTAATTAAAGGCAAAACGTAAATATGAATGTGATGAAAATATGGATGATGGAATAGCCAAGGGGTTCTTCTCCACACATGTTACACTTGCATACAAGATTGATTCTTAGTTGGTCTTTCGATAAATTATGAAACTCAACACTCCGGGTTAATTAAGTCCGCTTAAATTAACCGTCAAGTTCTCCTTAAGTTAATGAATTGGATGGGTTAGCGCAACGCAATTCACCACATTCTCCAAACGTCCTTTACGTGAAAAGCACAATAAAGATACAATCAAAGATCATTAAGCATTATGAAAACTATAAGTGTTGACGAGGCATTCGTTACTATGATGAGCATGAAACTCGTGCCAAGAATTCATTTAACGCGATTGTTTATAAGCAACCTCCACTACTTGTGAATATAAGTTCATAACGATTAGGTGAAACTCACTTATATTCTAGCGTCATATTCATGTATGAAAATTAAGCGCGCATTCTTAATAAACATACATAAATAAGTTATCAATCAAACGGTTAAACAAATTGAATCAACAACTTATGAAATTCCAACCAAAGATAATCAATTCATATTGCAAGCATAAACATGTATTTCGAATCACCCCCTAGCTAAAGGGGGTTTAGTTCCTCATAACTTTGAAATCAAAGAAACACCTAAACATTCCAACAACTCAAACTTGAATTGTATGAACGTTTAGGCACTCTTCTCTTCCATTCCTCATACGTACAAAACAAAGAGAATTAAATTATAACTTTGAAATCAAAGAAACACCTAAACATTCTAACAACTCAAACTTGAATTGTATGAACGTTTAGGCACTCTTCTCTTCCTCGTTGTTGTAGCACAAGGTCTAAGGAGATGTTTAGGGCTTTAGGTGTATGTGGAATGGAGTGGGGAGTGGTTGGAGATGGAAGCAATGGAGGAGAAAAACTGCAGAAAATGGAAGAGGTTGCACGGTATAGAATGGGCAGTTTTGTGTTGTGTGTTGTGTTGTGAATGGAATGAATCAATTGTGGCTGCAATGCATGCTTATTTATAGGTAAATGAGAGGGAACATGACAGCTAGGAATAGGTGGAAATGTGGCTGCAAGTTTGGTGAATGATTATGAGTGAATGCATGTGCATGTGGCTAGGTTGGAAAGCTGAAATGATGAAGTGGGATGCTGGAAATGCAAAGGGGAAAGCTGGAAAGGCAAAGGTTATGCATGGCAAAGGGTGTTTTGGTGCTTGAAATGCATGTGTTTGCATGTGAATTAAAACTAGAGTGAATGATGATGAATGTATGTGGATTAGTGATTAAAGAATAAATGGATGTGCTGGAATTGAATGGAATGCACGACATAGTGTAGTTTTTGGTGCATGTGGCTGCAATGTTGTGCAATGATGGAGGAATAAGTGCATGTGGTTGAATTGGTGGTGAATGTGCATGGCAAAGAATGGATTTGGCTGCAATGGTGTGTAATTGGGGTAGGGTTTAAGTGCATGAAATGGACCCAAATTGCTCCCCCTTGCATGGCAAGGAATGGTGTTTGTGTTAAGCCCATAGCAAGGTGAATATAATTGGGTTAGGGCCATTGTTTTGTGTCCTCAAGTGCATACTAGGCCTTCAATTTCATCCAACACTTGGGCTCCAAGCATAAGCTATCCATCCTTAGCCCAATAGTGCTCCAAAAGGCCCCAAAACACTCCACAATGCATCCTTTCGTCAAACACGTCTTATGATCCTGAAAACACACAAAAGAAGCATAAAGGACTAAAATAACTAAAGAAACATAACGTAAATGTACGAGAACAAGCCATTTAAGTCGCATGAATATGCTCTTATCAGCTTACAACACGAATAATATTTTTTTGTCGAGATGGCTATATAACTCGTAAGACTACATTTTACTAGACTTGTTGTAGAATAACGGAAACAAGTCTCTTATTTACAGGAGAAAACTAAATCAAACCTTAATCCTTAATGGGCAAATAATTTGCCATTTAGTATTATGGTCTAGATTCCTCTTCACTTGTAAGTGAGAGGTTTTAAGTTCGATTATTACTAAAGACGAATTTAAACATTACTAACCTAAAGTGAGGCTTAACCCACTCTCCCACCCCCAACGGTTTTCCCAAACTTATATGCAGTACTTGCGTATCCCTCACTCGTCTCCCTGTAAAAGATAATCATATTTTTAAAACATAATAATATGAATTATTTATCGCATTGGAAAATCTCCTCTCTTCTTAATGGTTTTCCCGCTGGCACTAGGCAAGCTCTCCCTTTTAATAATTTGTATTCTGACTGCCTTGTGATTTACTTTTTAGTTTATGGTTTCTTGCAAAAAAAACCTTAATGGTTTTCAAAAGCTAACTTTAGTCCAGTTTTTAAGATTAGAAATATTTTTTATATGTCATATGAATTTATACTCTTTTTTAAATTTGTCATATAAAACTAAAATTTTAAACGATTTGTGATATCAATATTCGAAAATCATTAATTTGTCATCTAATTCTACCCTGTTAAGTTTTTCATCCAAAATAATGCAATCACATGACTTATTTTCAAGGTTATTTCGAACATTTCAACTCTTCACCCCGATTGCCTTCAAAGTTATTTTGTACATTTCAACTTTTTTTTTTTTAATGAACATGATTGATAAATGAATTCTCAAAGCGTGTAATTAGTTAAACTTCATGTTCGTGAGCCTAATGTACATTTTAGTAGTTCACCGTAAATTTATGAAACAAACGTGACATGTTTTTCTTTTCGTACCAAAAAATAAGTAGATAACTTGTAAAAAAGAAGGCAAAAGTTGAAAGTCAGTTTATTGCCCACCCCAGTATACATATATATTTGTATAAAAATAACAAATGATAAACTTGTGAGAAAATAAGGTCAAAAGTTCAAAATAACTGTTTTTGTGGATGAAACACTTAAAGAATTAAGGTAAAATAATAAATTAATGATTTTATAAATAACAACAAACTCACGCTACAAAAAAGTAATTGACATGAAAAGTTGCATCTCTTTTTAATATTTTCATGTCACTGTTGAATAGTGACTCGAGATTTTTTTGAACCAGAAAATTTTCAAGCACTAACGGAAAAAAAAAAAAACAGTTGCCACCACTAGTAACAAAATATTACGGTTAAATAAATTTAATATAATTTACCTGCTACACAAAATTTAAAAATTAAAACGATTTAACATGCAACTTCATAATATCATACGAGCATGTGTCATTATATTACAGTCATATTGAAAAATTTCTTCCATATAATCGCATTGAAAAATTTCTCGCTTGCTTGAGACTCAGGTAAGTTGAACCGAGTCAAACTCTTAATTACTTCCCTAAGCTAAAATAACGTATTTGGTTCCATAAAGAACTCTAACTCACCGTTATTAATAATTATCCTTCAAAGTAGCAGATAGATTCTCGACATAGATCCTCTAACCCTTTTAAACTAACTAAACCCAAGTAAAAAATTACGGCAGATTTTGCTAGCTTGGTTTGTTATCAGGTAAATTCCCGTTTCTGCAAAATTTGTGCTCTCCTTTCCCTCAGCCGGCCATGCATGGCTGAAGTAATTGACTTTTTTTTTTTTTTTTTTTTTTCTTGTGCTGTGATTGTGTGCCCGTATTGTTTATGCTAATATTTGTGATCAATTTACTGTCTCTGTTTTCGTTTTATTAGTTTCTCAGTTGTTTTTTTGATAACTGGTTTCTCAGTTGTTTGGTAACTTGAATTCGGCATGGCCGAACTGCAAGTATACCAGAGGAGAGAACCTGTTTCCAGAGACAATGCCATGGAAGAAGAAGCGAAAGAGGAGGTGGTTCAGAATCGGAAGCAGGGTTTGTGGGTGCCACAAACGCCTGCAAAGCCTGCTACAGGGAGGACACAAAAATCATATTTCAGAAGACGATTCAAGAGCAATTCGGGACAAAATAATAGCGTAGTGGTGAGTGATTCCCAAGTGGAATTGGAGCGTTCTGATGGGGTTTCTGTGTTTTCTGCTGCTGCAACTTCTTCAGAGGAAAACACTTGCCTGATCGACCCAATTGAAGAATGTCCTAGAGAGGAGGAAAAGGTACAGAATTTGGGTGGAATTGGAAGCACAAATTTGGGTTCTGTTGGGTTGTTCGATTTGAATAAGATTGTGTTGGAATGTGATGAGGGTTGTGTGAGTTTTTCTCATGGGGGTTCCGAGGATGCAAGCCAAAGTTGTTTAGAGGGATTAGTGGCAGCAGAAGAGGTTGCGGCGAATGATGGTGAAATTTTGACAGTTGGGGAGGAGCTGGTGTTGCAGGGGATAATTGTAAAACCTCCAATTTCTCAGTCATCAACAAATGCAACTAAAAGGGGTTTATTTGAAAAGATAAACGGTTGTTTCATTCCGGTTGCGCAAACTCGTATCAATGAAGAAAAGCTGCAGCAGGGGTCTGCCATTCCAGATGGTATGTCGCAATGCAAGTCCGGTAAGGATTCTGTTCAAGTTGATTTATCTGTTTACTTACTGTTTTTGGGCTTAATTGGATTACAAGTCCCGGTAGTCGAAAGAAAACCTATCTGGTATAAACTAACAAATTTAAACCTGTCCATTAGGATTTAAGTCCAAAATTAAAGCTACGGAAGTCTCCGTTAATTGTTAGCGTAAGAGACCAATCATCTCTTCTTTGTTACTAAAGATTGTCGCACCATTTGGAGCAAGAAGGAAACGTTTCTTTGGTCTTGTGAGAATCTGAGATTTGTTCTTGGCTCATCTGCCTGTGAGAGTGATTTGGGTTGTGAGAGCCTCTAAACACTTTTGTAGTCTCCATTTGATATTAATGAAATTTTCCTCGGGATCTCCAAGCTGAACGTAGGCTTATGCCGGACCAGTATAATTCCTCGTAACTTTCTTTATCATATTTTGCCTTGTTACATATTGGCCTCATAGCTGAAGCTTCGGCACAACAGGATTGAGTTTATTGAAGTGTTGAGATTTCAATTTTGACGAGGGACGAAAAATGAGAGCAAAAGAGATAAGAAAGGAGAGGATCCTATTACTTTGTGTTACTGTTTAAGGATTTTAAATTTGCATGTTAAGACAAAGTAAATCAATTGTTGAACTTGAGGAACAGGATTTTATAATATTAACATGAATTTTACAACCCGAAGTTACTGGTTGTTGCTTACTTGTGAGAATTGGAAAGCATCCATTCAACCTGTATCAGAGTAATGTCTACTGTAATTCCAGATGGCATCACACGCTTATATACTTTCAGTTCTTGCTGATATTACTGGTTGCTTTCAATATTCTGAGATTGTGTAATTGGCTGCAGGTGATCAACAAAATCAAGAAAGTGTTAAGCAGGAGGATATCATCCATCGGGCAGAAAACAAGAATCGGACGTCCAATGCAGCAAATTTTATGGGAGGCTCCAAATTTCCTAGCACTTCGAGCCCATCTCAGAAAAAGAAAAACTTGAAAAGAAGCCCAGATGGTGGTATAGATTTGAATGAAGGGCCACAAAAGAAACCGAAGAAGAAAGTATATAGGCCGAAAGTGGTATGTATAGGAAGACCAAGGCCTATAGAGCCTAAGACCCCAAAGAAGGCAACACCAAAGCGTCCTGCTTCAAAACCAAAGACACCAAAGCCTACAACTAAAATGCATGTTTCTTCCGACAAAAATATGTCAGCCGAGAAGTCTTCAAGCAGCCCCAAACACTTGGCCCCCATAGAAGTCACCTTGGGTAAGGTTGCATTTTCTGTGTCAGACGGAGCAACTCTAGATGGTGACCTGAAAATTAAATCAAACACGGAGAATGCCATCATTCTAGCGACTCCTCCACAAAAAGTTAGAGCTAGTCAAGGAGCACTTATGAATCTCAGTTGTAGAAAAAATTTAGGACTGAACATTCCAGCTACATGCAGGAAACAAAGGTTGGCGAGGAGGAGGCGGGAAGAAGATTGTTGGTCGACAATAGCTAGATATTTTCTTGAGAGGGAAAGATACCTTCTCAAAGGGCTTGGTGACAAAAATCAGGGACATGCTTCATTCCAAAAAACAGAAACCACAGATCTAATTGGTGCACTGCAGCCACTGATTATGACAAGGAAGAAAAGATCAAAGGGACATACTCGGGGACGGAATGGAGGGTTGGTGACAGAGAAATGGACTAACATGGGACATTCCCTTAATATAGAGCTTCACAATGGTGAATGTGAAGGACATCCATCTAAGCATGAGGGCCCTTGCTCCACCAACATAAGAGGTATCTATATTTTGCATAATTTGGGACATTGTACCCTCCTGTATTAATTTAGAGTTTCATAACCATAAAAGTGACAGAAGCCTACTGAAAAATGAGATATTGGGGCTGACATACAAATTGATAGGTACTTTGGTAGAGATTATTTTTCTTTCATTGAGTGTACGCTATCGGAAGCAAATTTAAGTGAATGCCACTGTAAATCATTTTGTAAGAGTCTCTTTTGCATTTGGTGCAGATTCACAGGAAGATAATATCAGTCCGTTTGTACAGAAATGTCCAGATATCAGCCATGGAGTTAACCATGACAAAGATGTACATGTTCCCAGCAATGACCATGGCATTCTAGTTCCATACAAGGACAAGCACAGTAAAAGGCGTCCAGAGCTTTCTCCCACAGACCTTGAACGAGTTAAGTCATGGAAACTTCAATTACAAGCGAAGGTTAATGAGGGTCAAGAGAAAGAAAGTGAAGAGGAATGGTGGACGAATGAAAGAGAAGTCTTACATGGACGGATTAATCTACTTATGTCCCGGATGAACACAATCCAAGGTACAACCTTACTAGCAATTGATTCCAGCTAATACTTGTTGAAAATGTTACAGAAAATTATATTCTAAATTCCTAACAGTAAAACTATATTCTGAACAGGAGATAGGAAATTTTCACCCTGGAAAGGTTCTGTGGTGGACTCAATAGTTGGAGTTTTCCTAACTCAAAATGTGTCGGATCATCTTTCAAGGTAACTCAAAATCTGCTATAGTAGATTTTCTCAATTATATTTCTTCTGTTTGAGGTTCCTAATGAGACTATTAACAGATTATTCTTTTCTACAGCAACGCCTTCATGTCACTTGCTGCCAGATTCCCTTGTCAGTCCCATTCCAACGAAACAGATTGTGAATACACAAACATGGTTGTCACCCAAGAATCAGTTGGAAGTAATATTCTTGCTATCATGCCAAAATCTGAGGAGGAGTTACACACAGGTGAAGTGGCACTCTCAATGGACTATAGACACAAAGAGTCAAGCTCTGACAAACCCAATGACCTTGAAGGGTCGTCAACGCCATTGTGTGATTTCCACAACCCTCCTGAGGTTTCCCAAATTGGTTTCAGTGAAAAGGTAAATCATCTCAGAGTCTCGGAAGATAATGTTGTGTCAGATAACTGTGGAGTTCAGGTAATCTCCGAAAAAGTTGAGTTTCATACATCTGTAGAAATGTCTAGTCTGCCACCGCTGTGTTCCCAAACAAAAGATGTGATCGTAGAACCAAACGATGAGAGTTATCTTTGTTCTCAGAATATGCTGGTGGATAAGCCTGAGAGCCCAGTTGATACTATAATCCAAAATCTTGTGGAACCACCTAATGAGGCCAACAACTTCAACCAGGTAAATCAGAAAGGAGAGAAACCGGATTTAAATGATCAACAATCAGACATGAAATTTGATAAGACGACGAAAGCTCCTCGAAGAAGAAAAAACAAGAAGGCTATAGTGAAGACTAAACTTAGTTGGGGGTGGTGTAAAAGTATATTTTCAACCAGTAGAGAAAGAAATAGGAATCACATGGATTCAGCAGACTGGGAGGCAGTTAGAATTGCAGAAGTTGGTCAGATTGCTGCGGCTATTAAAGTGCGTGGCCAACACAATATGATTGCAGGACGAATCAAGGTAAAACAAATTTATTCTTATTCTCATATTCGGGAATTTTGGACAAAAAGACTTTCATAATATTTTCTTTACATGAAACATCATATTAACAGTCAAGTACTTTTATTTGATGTTGCACAATTTTTTTTCTCTTCACAAATTCTAACGACTACTTTTACTCAATGTTACAGAAATTTCTTAACCAAGTACATGAGGATCATAAACAAATAGACCTCGAGTGGTTAAGAAATGCCCCGCCTCAGTTAGTAACGTAAGTATGCATTTACAGTATAAGCTTGATAAAAGGTTCCAATCATTTAATCCTAGTTATATATTGCTTCGTGAAAATTTAATCATTCAACCATTTATAATTGTAGGAAGTACCTAAGAGAAATTGAGGGCATTGGATTGAAAAGCATGGAGTGTGTGAGACTTTTGGCACTCCAACATGTAGCTTTCCCGGTATGATTTAAATGATTATTGTGCAACGACTAAATGCGAACTATGCTTTCATAAATTCAAAGATGAATTCTTCTTGTCTTCTATTAGGTGGATGTAAATGTTGGCCGGATAGCGATTCGTCTAGGGTGGGCTCCCCTTGAACCATTGCCTGAACAAGTTCAACTACATGTATTAAAACAGTAAGTATATAGTACTATACTAACAAGAGATATTACATGTATATCTGTTGACGGTATCTAAATTTTATGTGTAGGATGCCACTGTTGGATACCATTCAGAAGTATCTTTGGCCACGGCTAAAAACCTTGGATCCAAAAACATTGTAATTTTCAACATCCGTTAGGATTATTTTTACAAAAAATCATCTTTGATAAAGTAAAACTCGTACTCATGTTAGTATATTTTTCAACAGGTACGAACTACATTACCAAATGATAACCTTTGGAAAGGTAATACATTTTTGCAGAGTAATTATTTGAAGCAGAAATGTGATTTTAAAATTCGTTAAATATATTTATACATAATGGGTGTGTTTCTATATTTATGCAGGTCTTTTGTACAAAGCAAAAGCCAAATTGCAATTCTTGTCCAATGAAGGGAGAGTGCAGACATTACGCTAGTGCATTTGCAAGGTTTAAATTTTTAATTCGAGCTCTATATCACTTATATATACAGTGAGATTTTAAAAAAAAATGTAGAAAATGAGAAAGTATTTACTGCAAAAAGATAAAAAAAAATTTAAAATTTGTAATTTAACGGCAAGTGGTGGGATTTAGGATATATCATTGTGCCGAGTCATTGTACATGAAATTTTAGATATTGCAATGTTCGCTATTGAAAAAAAAGGATAGTAACAATACAGTATTAAATATTTTACACTATTAGTTTATTATCTTGGTAGTTTCTTGCTTTTATGTCCATTACATTACAGACCTTTTCAGATGCATTGTAACTTTGAATCTCTTGGTGTATGATATGTGTCTAATGTACATGTTTGATACAGCGCCAGGCTTGCCTTACCAGGGCCAGAAAAGAAGCCAGGTTCAACAAAGAACGGTAGTTCTACCGATCCCTTGATGATGGCTCTTCAGGCACTCAATCCACCAACTGTCTCCTCTCTTGAGGTCAGCCTTGACTCAAAATACCAAAGCAAAAGTTGTGAACCTATCATTGAGGAACCATCATCACCGCAGCCTGAATATACAGAAACATCATTAAGAGACATTGAAGATCTTTTTCTTGATGACCCTAATGACATGCCAACAATTAAAATGAGAGATGAAAGATTTTCAACAATATTAGAGCCGTACACAGGTGTATTTCAAGAAAACGATATGGCAACAGGATTAGTTCCTTCCCGATATGCAAATTTTCAAGCTCCCAAATCGAAGGATGCTTTCCGCTTATGCACGAAGCACCTAGTGTAAGTTGGGTTTGCCTTTTTCATTTCTTTAGAAAGTTATAAATTCATATGAAAAATAAAGAGTAACCTTTGCATTTAGTAATTTAATTTTTAACCTTAACCGTTAGTGTCCACGAATTCTCTCTTATACAAATTAATTTCTCAAGGAAATCCCTCAATGGAAACTCCCGCTCCTTGCATGTTAGTTGTCGTGACACATTTCTCTCTCATGGTTCTCTTTCTCATATAAACTCACATGATTTGGTCTTTTTCTAGACAAATCAATTTTTCTGGTCTTATTTCTTAGTATAATCATTCATTTGGTCCTTTTCATGCTGCTATACATATGAGATATCAGACCTATTCTTTTTATTTTTGTTTTTGACATAAGATGTTTTTGATATAATGCAAGAGAAAAACCATTAGCAGAAGGTTGAAAATTTGTGATTAATGATGAGCATGAGCTTCAATGAGAGAAAAATGATGCCAAATCTTTGTTTTAAGAGAGATAATTGGTGGATATAGAGGGTGAGGTTGAATTAAATAATTAATAAATTTTTATTTCACAGAAAAAATAAAATAAATGCAAAGGTTAACTATTGTCTGTGTTTTGACATATGACATAATCCTTGTGGGAATTTTTCAGATAAATCCCCAAAATGCTGTGCTATGATATTTCATTGCATCGTAACTTATTTTAATTATCATGCAGCTATGTTCTTCCAGATTATCATCCTCTATTGCAGACTGTAAGTCATTTACTATTCTTTTCCTGTGCAAAAGTGTTTTCAGCTGCATAGTGGTATGTAAACCTCTCATAATTTTAATGTCACAGCTAGAAAACAGAGATCCCGATGATCCATGCCCATACCTTCTTGCTATATGGCCATCAGGTATTACATGACTGGAGCAAACAATATTTATAACTGCAATGTGTTTATATGTGAAAGATTCGTGTTTTCAAAAGTTCAAGGACTGTGAGGTCTAAAAGTTAGAGCATACTAACTTGAAAATAAGATTCAATGTTGGAATATGTGCTAATCAAATTATGTGGAAATGTGATTATCAGATGAAAAACGATGCGATCCTCAGGAGTCGAGAGAATTGAGCAATATTGTAGAGCCATCTTTTTCACTTAATAATCATTCACAAGCAGCTTCACAAATGGTTCGTGGAACACTTTTGGTGAGCAACACTCAGGGTCCACAAACACTTCTACATTCTTTTAAAGTCCCAACTTGCAGCAAGTACGTTAGACAATTATGGAGAATGACATAATATAAAATGATGCATAAACAGATGCCGTGTCGAACTGCAACAAGGGGGAGCTTTCCACTCAACGGGACATACTTTCAAGTGAATGAGGTGAGTTTACTCACAATTTCTCCAATAATATATATATTTTTTTGTCAGCATATACTGTCAGGTATTTTAGATCAAGCTACCATACTAGAACACATGTATATATCATCTCCTTGCAGATATTTGCTGACTATGAAACCAGTATACGCCCCATTGAAGTTCCTAGATCAAGCTTATGGAGTCTAGCTAGGTTAACTGTATACTGTGGGTCCTCAACATCTTCAATCCTTAAAGGTAAACAAACCTTCAGTCGCCTTCAGTTTGGCATGTTATGCTGCTAGATCATCAAATGACATGGTTGATATGGCGAATCATGTGCATCTCAATAATGTCTTCTTATTGCAGGCTTACAATTGAACGAAATTAAGGACTGCTTTGTGAAAGGTTTGTAACTTCTGCCCCTGCTACTATGTATTTACATCATCGATTTGGTATGAGAAATCCATCGTTTTTCATAGAAGTAGCAATGACAACCTAGATAGTTTGCATCACCATAAGTCAGATTAGTATGGGAAAAAAAGAATTAAAATGAAAGAAATAACTAAAAGATTTATGGGTTCAAACTGTGGAATAGAACGAAGCATGATCACACAAATCGTCATAGAAAAATTAAAAAGAGTAATGAGAATAACCAAATAACGTATTTCAAATTGTGCATGTTTGATGAAACAGTCTTATTTGTAATCTTCACACATCTTGATAATTGGAGGGCAAAAATGAGCGATTAAGTATGATATAGTAGGAACTATTTAATGCTATTGTTGTTGAATGTGAACTATTGTCTTAATGGTATAACTTGAAAACTGAAGTTGCAAACATGAAATTATCTTTGTAATTTAGTTGCATCTATGTGCATCTTACAACAAACTACTTTATTAAGAAAATTTATAAGGAAGAAAATACAGAAGCGATCTGATCTGGCCTGCGAGCATATATAGCCATCTCATGTTACGATATGAAATTTAACAATAATTCTAAATTATCTTGAACTTTTCCCTTTCAGGTTTTATCTGTGTCCGAGCCTTCAACCGGAAAACACGCGCTCCTGAAGAACTTTCAGATAGATTCCACGTTCGACCAACTAAGAAAGGAGACAAAGGAGGCAAGGGAGGCAAGGGAGGCAAGAAGAACAAAAAAGAGGATGAGTTGTGAATCGGAGGAGATGATGATGCAAACACTAGATGATAAAAATATTCTTAAAATGTGCAGTTTCGTACACACAAACTAGTTATAATTCTTTTCGTCAAATTTGGATGCATAAAGTAGATTTCCAATTTAGCGGAATATAAACATTTATCAATAACTGCCTTTGAAGCCTCTAATGAGAAAGAAAGAGACGTCATATATGTAGGTTTTTCTGACAAAATAAATCTGTGCCATCTTTTGCACAATATGAGCATGTAAATTTTTTAGGGGAGCATTGTTGCTCACCACCATAATTATAGTCTATGCTCATCATACAACTAATCATCTGTCACGTGTTATTTTACTCAACTCTGGTTAACTTTTACATTAAATATTAATTTTCTTTTTTTTAAAAAAAAAAAAATTAATTAAGATTAAGTGAAATGACACATATTAGATGATAGGTGTATGATGAGCATGCATCATAATTTATGGTAATGAGCAAAAAGTGCACCCATTTTTTAGTGTTGAGAGAAGGCATCATCTATTCATAGAGTGGAGGATGCAAGAGGTTTCATTTTATGCTTTCGCTTTTCCACGGCCTCTGGTTAGGTAAGATTTTTTTTTACACCAACGATTTTGGGGGAGGGAGACTTAAGCTGAAACATGGAAGTCATGGGTGAACATTCGTATCTTACTAAGCTATATAAGCCCTTTGCAAAATCTCTGATCTCGTTTAGGATTTAATTGTAGAACTCCAAATTGGATGACCCTTGAATCCTTGGCCGAGCATTTAGATTGTAGAAACTAATATTGTCAAGGAGAAGAGAGGATTTGAATGGCCTTGGTACCACTTTGATTGGCGTGAATTGGAGCTAAAAAGTTCAACGAAAAGAACGAAAATTTGAAGGCTGATTACTTTGTATTATATATACATAAAAGTCTAGATAGAAAATATATTTCCGAATTTGAAGAACCGTCAATTGCTGGACAGGCAGGAAGTCGCTACCCTCCTCTAATACAGAATTTTTGGAAGAAAAAAGCACTGAGGAAGACCACTTTAGCAGCAATAGTAACACACAAAAAAAACATTCAATTTTTTTTCGATTTTTTTTTTTTTAATTATCAAGGCACTAATCATATCTGATAATTGAATTATACATACAATATATATAGGGGCGAATTCATGACATCAATTTTTTTACATAATTTTTTACACAAGTTTTTGTGATAACCCCTCCATAATGTATGTCAACATCCGAACTGTCTGTCGTTTAGATCTTCCTTCAAAGATCATATTTACAAAAAATCACTTAAATCTGAAATCATATGAATGTTGGATTAAGGGTTTAGGTTTTCTTTGTGAGATCGTATTCGTCTATTTTATTCACTACAAATGAATGTCTTAATAATTTTGTAATTGTCCAATTTTTTTTTGCAAGGATGATCTATGAATGATGAACTAAAAGATATACTGTTTGGATTATTGAAATACATTACGGATGAGACCTCACAAAAACTTGTGTCAAAAGTTATGTAAAAAAATAGTGTCACAGATTCCCATATATATACGCGCGTGTGTGTGTGATGAAAATATTCGCTGATGCACCGATATTTTCATGAGAAATCATCACTTCTTTTTAAAAGTTCATTGTATGCAACGATGAAAATATTCGCTGATGCACCGATATTTTCATGAGATATTGATTGGGTGGAGAATATTAAAGATATTCTTTACCACAGGAAAGAACACTAAAAAATATAGAATTTTGAAATAACAGAAACGCAGTGCATTAAGAAAAACAATATAAAAATGTGCCTCACCCTCAAAAACCCCATAACTTAAAAACTTTCAGTCAGTGGATATGCCTTCCAGAATCGGAGGAGGTCCGACATTTCAAGTTGTGATATTGTAATTTAATATAAGTGAGGGAATACTTGGGAAAATGAAGGACCTGATTTAAACATTGAGACCGATCCAGATCATTCAATATCATGAGGCATTGTTGCCATCGATATTGGATGGTTGAAAATTATTAAGACTTCAAATACATAATTAGTTCTCTAACTTTGCAATTTACTTTACCTATCTTCAAGAATATACACACATACAGCTGTTGGATTCTATATTGCAATGTACTATCTAGTGTTGGACCAAAACAATTGGGAAGGTGACCACCTTGTCTTTAATATCCTATCAATTAAATAATGCAAGTGTCTGGCTAGTTTCTCCTTGGTGGAAACTTTACGAGCAGATACTAAAATCAGCCGTTTGCTTCTGTGAGCACATATATAATGTATTAAGTGCCACCAAAGAAACTACCGGAGGAAAGAACTCAACCGACAACCAAACCAGTTGAAGAGAGAATTAAGAGCTTTCTTTCCACAATGCCTTCACGTGAGCTTTCGGACTACAAGTTATCAAAATCTTGTTTACTTCCCAACTGTGTCTAAATTTACTCAGCCTAAACTTCCTAACTCCCTACCTGTATGCAAATTAATTAATTGGAAAGTTTATTTAATGCCATGTCCGAAGATCACCTACCAATTGTAAGTTTTCATGGCTTATGACGTAACACGTAATCTCAGAAGTAGCACAAGCAATATAGAAAAATTGGGATCAATCCAACACATACCTCGAGTGTGTGCCCGTGAATATTCTTAACTAACTAATGTACAAGTTATTTATAAACGGTTGAAAATCATTCTTATACAATTGTTCTGGTTCGGAAGGCTTTCCTAGATTCCCCCACCCTATCATTAAAAAAAATGATAATATAGGCTATAGTTAAGGGTTGAATACTACAACAACAACAAAACATTTTCCTACTAAGACCAACTCCAATGGTAGGCTAAAAGCTAAATTACCCCCCAAACCCACTCCAACCCAAGGAGAAAATTTGGGCTAAATGCTAAACCAATGCCAAATTCCCCCCAAAATTTAGCCCAGAAATCGAAGTGGGCTCCACCCAATATTTATCGGAATTTAAATTTATTTTAGATTAAAATGTTCATAAAATTAATTTACGATAGTTTACATATTTAACTTTTAGCCCAACCATTGAAAATGATCTAAATGAAAATATGACAATTTGTTTTAGCGCACTTATTCTGTCTATTTTGTAAAAAGACTCATTGGGAGTTTGAGGACACACTTATACAATTAAATATCATTATCTACTTTAGATGTAACTGTTGCATTATGTTAAAAGGAGGATACATATCTCCAATCTGATAATTAGCTTTCCAAATGTTTCCTAATAAAGGAGATTATGAAAATAACAAGAAATGAATTATTGAGTTGAAAATATGAGGAGTATCAAGGCTTATGGTGCTGTGTGTAGATGTAGTCCAAGTGAGCTTCAGCCATTATCCTTCTCTTTGAACAGTCCTCATCTCCATCAACTCAATCCTCCACCCCCATATAAAAATATATCCCAACAGAAAAGCAGTATAAGACATATATAGTATCTACTTGATTAATTACTCTAGCTAGGGTTAGAAAAAGAATAACAAGAGGAAGAAGAAAAAAGAAAATAAAATAAACATACATTCATTAGTTCATTGCCTTTCAATTCTACAAGTGAATGATGCGAGATTTATGCGCACACAAATTAAACCCTATTTGTGACAATTGTAGTAATGATGTAAGTAGGGATCGTTCTAACCGGGGATTAACTAGGGGTGCTAATCTATTTTGAATTGACTTGAAAACACAAAAACTAAATGTAAAGACTCTTAACAAGACTACTATGACTCAGAATAGCTTTGAAAAACTCAAACTGCCTAAAACAATCAAATTGACTCAAATAGAAACTAGAACTTGATTTAGACGAATTTGAAAGTGTTTATGACTCCAAATGCTTAAAGACACAAAAATAAAACAAATACGAATGATTAAGACTCAACGAAATATGGGGGAAATGTGTTTGGACGATATTAAATTAAATGGACAGAATAAAATTAAGGGCAAAATGTAAATATGAATGTGATGAAAATATGAATGATGGAATAGCCAAGGGGTTCTTCTCCACACATGTTACACTTGCATACAAGATTGATTTTCAGTTGGTCTTTCGATAAGTTATGAAACTCAACACCCCGGGTTAATTAGGTCCGCTTAAATTAACCGTCAAGTTCTCCTTAAGTTAATGAATTGGATGGGTTAGCGCAACGCAATTCACCACATTCTCCAAAAGTCCTTTACGTGAAAAGCACAATAAAGATACAATCAAAGATCATTAAGCATTATGAAAACTATAAGTATTGACGAGGCATTTGTTACTATGGAATACGCATGAAACTTATGCCAAGAATTCGTTTAACGCGATTGTTTATAAGCAACCTCCACTACTTGTGAATATAAGTTCATAACGATTAGATGAAATTCACTTATATTCTAGCGTCATATTTATGCATGAAAATTAAGCGCGCATTCTTAATAAACATTCATAAATAAGTTATCAATCAAACGGTTAAACAAATTGAATCCACAACTTATGAAATTCCAACGAAAGTTAATCAATTCATATTGCAAATATAAACATAGTTTCGAATCACCCCCTAGCTAAAGGGGGTTTAGTTCCTCATAACTTTGAAATCAAAGAAACACCTAAACATTCCAACAACTCAAACTTGAATTGTATGAACGTTTAGGCCCTCTTATCTTCCATTCCTCATACGTACAAAACAAAGAGAATTAAATTATAACTTTGAAATCAAAGAAACACCCAAACATTCCAACAACTCAAACTTGAATTGTATGAACGTTTAGGCACTCTTCTCTTCCTCTTCGTTGTGGCACAAGGTCTAAGGAGATGTTTAGGACTTTAGGTGTATGTGGAATGGAGTAGGGAGTGGTTGGAGATGGAAGAATGGATTGATGGGGAAGGCACGGCACAAAAGGGAGTTTGTGTGTGTGAATGGATGATTTTCTGAAATGGAAGAGTTGGAGTGGGGAGTGAATGAATGACAAATGAATGAGAATGCAAGGAGGGTTTTTATAGGAGGAATGGAGGTGTATATGGCTGTTTGTTTAGGATGCAAGTGGCTAATTAATGATGGAAAAACAGCTAGGAAAGCATGTGAAAGCTGGAATTGCATGTGAAGGTGTTGGAATGTGCTGGAATGGTGTGTGAAGGCACGGCATTGAGTGTTTTCTTGCTTATTTTCTGGCTACATGATGAAAGGTTAATGAATAATGCATGTAGGTGGCTGCA